CCTTCTTTAGGCTCGTCTTCGAAACGTCACCGTTGTCCGTCCTGCCGGAATTCTTCGTTTTGCTCGGATTTTCTCGGCTGAGTTTAAATTTAGATTGGAAAATGTGTTCGTTCTTTTAAATGAAATTTAACGGCAAACGCGGAAATTAAAATGGATCGTCATGAGAGACGCTATTTCACGTGTATCCTACTGTCTTAATAAGATCATTAATTCTTCAAATTCTTCGCGGGTATTTTGATCCGTCGCAAACTGGACCGGAACATCGTTCAAATATAATCGCGAAATGTCACTTGCAAAATGCAACCTTTTACAAATATAACAAACGAGACGATTCTTGGACGATTTTACAATGCGTTTGTCATTATTGTCGTTATCATTCCGCCGCTATTACATTTATTTATCGCTTCGCCACGTATTTGTTGCAACGCTGCCATTAGTTGCCCGTCACTCGTAAAAAAGGTCGCACGCGGGTAAAAAAATGTCAGAATGAAGTGGAAGAGTGGATAGCGGGCGCGGGGAGGAGGGGTGGGATTGGAGAGTTACGAATGGCCTCGTTATGGTATAGAATTATGACGTCGGTTATGAGAGACGCAATAATTGCGGGAAAACGCCGACCTGGCCACCGACAGAAATATTATTTATGGCTTCGAGGGGATGAGCGGAAATCGTGATACTTGCGATAGTAAAATATGGCCGGCTGGTTTTGTCCGCGCCGCGAGCGTACCTTGTGACGATGTCTTGACGCATTCCGATAAAAAAATGCATGATTCATCGACGTTAGATCGGGGGGAAGATGAAGAATGAGAAACAATGCGCAGCGGCGATGCTGCTGCTTTATTGCATCAACGATCTTTCGGAACCTCGATTTATCAGCAATCCTAACGCTTTGCTCCTTCGACTCTCGCTCAAGTTATACTAATTTCCTTAGACTCCGCGCGACGGTAATACGTAATACTCGGTTTTAAGGATCGTTTACGTTTCCGGCGGATGTACACGTGTAGGGCGTTTGTGACCGCGAGCTGACACGCGTCATCTAATTCGATTTACATATGGTGTACATTATTTATATTTAATTTATATGGCCACGGCGCACAATCCGCTCGAGAGTGGGAGAAGGGGCTCGGCGCCTTTTGTAGTAACACGGTAAGCCTATTAGCTCGCTCGTCCGTCTGTACATCCGTGGCGCGTGTGACAGCTTGCCGCGCCGAATGAATTTTAATGAAATCCAGTGGGTTAGAGGGAGCGCGCGCGCGCGCGCGCGCGCGAGTCCGGCCCCCGGCCAACTACCCCCGGCTGAATTTATCCGACAAATTTTCCCTCCGCGTTGTCTAATCTGAATACATGCATATCCGAGAGCCGCCGCCGTATAAAGTGGAGACGCGACGACGTGGACGGCCGGGCGTCGGCGTCGTTTTTCGGCGGGCACGTCGCGTCGTCCCCCGGACCGAGATTGAGCGCCGCTCGATTAAACAGTATGGAATCTAAAATAACATGGAATATTATATACAGCGAGATTGGATGTTCCGCGCGTATACCGTTTCCGAGGTTTTTGCGAGGTTTGAATTCACGGGATCTGGCTTTACGATTCGAGCTGTGATAAATTAAATTATACGGTTACATTATTCCGTCGTGTTAAGAAATTCGAGATGGTAGAAATTACTTACGCGAGAATAAGAACAATTCGTGTTCGATACTAACCTACTTGCGTCTATTACGGCAATTAGAAGCCTTACTTATACTCAAAATAGACAGATGTCTGGTATCGTAACGTTGATGCAACTGAACTTATATTACGTACGCGAGAATGACCCAGATTTATTGTCAATCGACTCGACATTTATCCGATTTGGAAGACCGCGAGAAAATTATTTAAGGCTTCTGAAATTCTCCGCGCGAAAAGAGATGCTAATTGAAATTAATATAAGGTTAAGTTATTATTGTATCGTCAAGTGAAAGAAGCTTCAGTAAAATCCTTTTTTAAAATGTCTAATTTCTGATCGGTCGAATGTGTATTTAAATATGCCCGCAATATTTGAAATTTATATTAATTTATAAAAGCGAGAAGCTTATCTTATAAAGATTGTCGAGTAACCCACTGGTAAGAGAACAGCTGACTTGGCTGATAATTGGATGGTACTTCGGGAAGTGTTAAAACTGTCGAAACACCCTGGCGAAGAACCTCGAACAACGTCGAAGATGATGTCTCGTAAGTTTTTTCCCCATCCTTGCCCGATCATCCCTTTTCGCCTGTCGCGATCCTCTGCTATTATTCGCGACTGCGAAGAAGAGAGCAAAACTCGTTTTAAAAGAACTTTTAACAATGCCAAGGAGGCACGAATTCGCGCGCACTCCTATACCCTCTTTACCGGTTTAATCCTTAAATAACACTGTTGTAAGTTCCTCACGGATTCTTGATGTTGTATCCATCAAGAAAGAATGGAAAAAATCCTGTAAAGTATATTACAAAATCTAATTCGTTAAAACCTGAAATATGAATCATCAAAGTTATAAAAACGTAAAGCTCAGAATAAAATGTATAAAATAATACGGCATAAAGCCGAAATAATAAAATATTGTAGTATGTCACAAAAGTGCGCTGTCAGATTTCCAATGACATTTTTAATTTTTTCAGATTTTCATTTCGTTTGATATTCACCGGAAAATCAAACGTTAAAATTTTCCAGTGAATAGGAATCGGCAGTGCCCGATAACAACGACGTGAGCATTGGCATATGTCAGTAACATGATATTTTTATTGTCAGGATTCAGACTTTACCGTTGTTTGCGTGGGAGGCGTTGAAATCGGCTACGAAACTGATACAACAATAACAATGGAGAACTAAATATATCGATTACTTTTCTGCGCATTGTTGTGATACGATTGAATTGCTTTATACGTACATAGCGGGGTGTATATCTGATTTCAGCAAATACCGCGCAGCGAAAGCAACTTCCGATTCCTATTCATTATGTACTTAATGTCGAGACACTGCCGAGTCGCCTGTAATACATAAACGAATAAGAAATTCAACAATAAAAATATCTTTCAAAGAAATGTGTACGCTTTTCTTTTCTCATTTATTTATTTACGATCTGTGAGCTTCATGCTTCTATATTTAACTTTTCGCTTACGTCGAGCAGTTTCGATATTTTTTAAATATAAAACGGACAGATCGTACTTTATGGATCGTGTTTTAATACAAGTATTTAAAGGGAGAAATATCTCACAAGCACATTGTGTAATCGTGCGACACGTATGCGCGAGATCGAGTGAGCGATGAGTCTCATATCGACAATTTTATATTTAGCGGTTAAATATACCTACATCAAGGCGCGTGATTGATGATGATTTAAAACGAGCAGAAAACAAAGTATAATGCAAAGAGAAGACAACAAGGAAAATATAACCTGAGAACAAACTGATGCAATAGATTTTAATCATCGCATACTCGGGGATAACGAAATTAAATCGTCCTAAATTTCTGCATAAAACTGGTTTGTCCAATTTCGAAAAAAAGCAACGTGGCGGCATTCCTTTTTTTTTTGGGAGAGAATTTTTCAAAACGATATATTTCGGGCATTGTGAATCCAATCAAAAGTACGTGTGCGCCTCGTAGTAAAAAGGAGCGCAAACGGAGGCAATTTGCAAGCTTGCATCTCCGGCGGTATTTATGACAAGCGGCAGTTCTGACATCGTAAAATCGCACGCGTATATTCCGCATTGTGTTCCCGTAAAGCGAAACTTCGCTCGAGCGAAATTCATCCGCCGCGATATGACCCTCGATATTCACAATTTGCATGTCGCAGTAAGAATATCATGTGCCCCTCGTTACCGTTCACCGATTGCGGCTAATGGACTACGAGCGTACGCGGCTCGCTATTATTGTAATAGAATAATTATCATCGCGCTGTTCGAAAGATCGTTCGCGTGGGAACGATTCGCGAAACTTTTCCGAAAACGATTTCAATTACACGGTGTAATTAACGTGACGTTTTTGCATTTTTATTATGCGCGAGATATCGATTCTTCTCTCGTTATTGTACGATATGCATTTTGTATTGGTTCGCCGAAGTCACACACCGCTGAAGGAAAAATCTCGAGGTAATTCGATCTTAATTCGCGCGGGAACCGCATTGTCGGATACATCCTGAATTATTCAAATCTAATTTATTTTACCGCGTGCTCCCACCTTCGAAGTTTTAAAGCAACAATCGCTTTAGCCTCCCTTAAAGCTGACGCCTCCGGCAAAATTCTTCGCTTGATAATGGTAATTAGTTAAAACATTGTGGACAACTTTTGTATAATTATATATACCATAATTTATTAATAATATAATTATTTCAAAGAGACAATAGTTGAACATTAATTTTTATTTGGTTGTTTACAAGAGACTACAATTTGTTCACACTGTTCTTGTTCAAATAAAATGTTTAAGAGGTAGGAAGAAGGGGAGAGAAGAGCGAAGTGTTATGAGAGGAATTACAGTTTTTTCTACAAAAAAATAAAATAACGAAATAAAAATGACACGCAACACCGTTGCGGCGTGTTACATACTGGCGACAAAGGGAAGTCTTTTAAAGAAGTTCTCGTTGCCGGGATCTCGCGATTCTGTAAAATGCATTTAATGCCGCACATTTATTCCACCGTGTACCCAAATGTATTCAAGGAAATGCTCTCGTTTGCAGAGCGGCTTATACAGTTGTTCATTTGCGACGTTGTCAATGTAGAGTATCATGGACTGTTATTTAATTGTGAAACATCAAAGAGAAGAATAGTAATATAGACATATAATATTAGATTTCAAAGTATAAAGACTAAAAGAGCGAGTAACAATGGGGTAAAAGGCATCTAGCGCCGTAAAGCGAGATTGAGAGATTGAGAGAGAAAGAAAGAGAGAGGAGGAGGGGGGGGGAGAGAATGTGTGTGTATGTGGATGCACGCAAATCTGACGTAATGTATATACACTAATGTATTTTGCAAAACATCCTTCTGCTTGCAGTTACTACGCGTCGACCGCGTTTCCGCCGCGCTTAGCACCGCCGTTGAAGCGGCCGCGCTTGATGCCACCGACACGAGCGCAGCATCCGAAGCTACAGAAACAACAATCGATGGCAAACACCGGCACGATACCCGACTTGAATCAACTTAAAGTGTACAGTAAGTGTCGCGTTCGAGACGGTACAACGTTTTCATTATCCGCGATGTACTTTGCCTCCTCTTCTTTATTTCAAGATCAAATATTTGGATCTGGCAAGGCGAATTGGTGCGAATTTAGTTATCCCAATATATCTTTTTTTCCGTAAAAAAATCATGCATAGGTACATAGTTCAATTGTGATTAATTTATGTTACTGTTATTATGCTTATATTCTCCAAGTTTATAAGTTACCTCCTCGTAACACGGTCCCAAAGCCTTGTCGTGCAATGAAGGCTGGGTTTAATTGAAGGTATGTCGTAGGCAATCCAGATATACTGATCTGCGGCAACTGCAGGGAGATGTTCACGGAACTCGGGGAGCTGTTGGAGCACAAGCGGAACTACTGCAAGCTGCGGTTCACATGTAAATGTCACACCTTCAACGGAGCCGCCCCAAGTATGTACTCGAAATAAACTTCGAGGCGCCTCCTTCCGGTACGTAAACGCGCTCCAAATCCCACCGGGAAGATCCAGAATTAATAATTGCCCATCGCCCATCATTTTAATCGGCGGTTATTCTCGTCGATCATAATTAATGGCTCGATCCTTTTTTTTTGCAATGTCGTTGTGCCGTTCAATTAAAATCTTATATCTTATTTAAATTGAAACAGATTACTTACATTCATTATATTTGGTATTAATTGGTTGACGTGGTATTAACTGATGACAAATTTATGTCAATTATTATCTTTTTGCACGGCGAATTAAATTACACAAACAAGATCAGCACCGCATAAAATCCTGTACATCATGTTCCGTTAAAATTAACGTATTAAATGAGCGTGTTATGTCGTATTGCGTTATTGTAAATGAAATAATTTCAGATATTGCATTTCTATTTAAAAAAAATCAATTTGTTATATTGTACAAGTCCCATTTTCCTTAAGGCGGCTCGAATTATGTTGTTGAATCAAAAGAGGACAAAATGAGACAAAATTAATGAAAAATTGATTTGAGTTTTGACCCAAATTCAATTTATATAGAGATAATTTTTGCTATGCGTGCAAACAATTTAGATGTACTAACAGATGTATTATGTACTTGCTTCAAAATTTGCGTAAAAATCCATTAAGTAATCTAACATTTATCTGTCGCACATGTTATTGTTTCGAGAAATCAGTTTCTAAATTTTGTCTTATTTTGTTCTCACTGTGGCTCACTGTGTGACATCACAACTGTGTCTCTTTAGTTTATTTATTAAAATCTCGCGCAAACAGGAGACTCGACGGCGGCGTTGCTCTGCGTCCTCTGCAAGTTATCCTTTCCAAGTGCTTGGGAATTGATGGTCCATGCCCAGGCAGCTCACATGATCAACATTTACGAGCTGGGCACAAGAGCGCCGAGCCCGTCACGGAGCCCCAGCCTTGACCAGCCGAAAGAGTCGTCGCCTTCCCCGCAGGATTTCCAGGTTAATTCTCACTCCTCTTACGTCCTGTCTGAGATTTATTATTTACGCCGGCGTCATGCAGCAATATTTTACAAAATTGCGCAGTCTGAACTGAAGAATTAATAGTTTCCGCCTCTCGAAAAGGGCGAAGGGTGGAACGAACGGCTAAGAGGAGAGCTCGCAGTCCACCCTCGAGGCAAAGTGATTCAAAGTAAAAGACATTTCACACTTTGATCGCTGAATGTCTATTTTATTTTTTATTTGTAATTAGATTACTCTGCCTGGTAATTATAGTGGAGTTCTTTAACAATTACACATTTAATAATGTAATGTGATATGTTTCAGTCGGTTCATACACACACACACACACACATATTGACTTACAAGTTTCTTTTTTTCTCATATTTAATATATTTGTCAGCAACTAATTAACGAATATCCGGAATTGTTTTATCGTCGCGCACGTATTTTTCGAATAATTAAAATATGAGTTTAACAGAAATATTTGACTCGTCCCGTAGATATACCTAATTATCCAGCCTGGCGACGGCCGGATCATTTAAATAAGTAATATTCTCTCACTTTCATTAATTAATTTGCGTTTCATTACCAGCCAACGATTAAATTGCGCTGTAATATTGGAGATCTTATGTTATCGATAATGCAACCCTCATTGGTGAGCCATGCTCCAAAGTTTTTTTTCCACATGAGATATTTTATATCTATATATTTTTAAGCTTATCTATTTCTCGTGAACTCTCAAATATAATAAATAGACTTCAGCGTTTTCGGGATTCTTTACTTTAGATAGTAAAGGATGTCCAGCTTCTAAAATGTGTCCCGGAATTATTCTCTACTTCCTTAATTATGATTTGATTTGCTCAAATAACGCCGATCTGTATGCAATAAGTAAGTCACCAGTATCGAAACTCAATCGTATATAAAAAGACCAGTTTCGCCGCGCAGTTCATTTCAACGCGCCGTCTCCTTCTCTCTCTCTCTCTCTTTCTCTCTTTTCGTTTCTGGCAAAACGAGAGACGTAGTCTTCCGTCACATTTATCGGAGCGTTGTCGCGAAGAGATCCGAGGCGGCAACAAAGAGGCATCGCGACGATACGCGTCGTCTGAGACACGAGATATATCCGTGGACGACGATGCAGACAGCCTTCTCGACAATGCTTGACGTGCACGATTTTCACGAAGTTGTATAGAACCGGAGTAAAGGTGGACGAGGGAGGGGGGGCGAGGGGAGAGTACGCGCTTGCACTCGGCAAAAGCAACCCCAGTGACCGACGCGAAACACGTCGATTCCATCGAGGCTAACTCTGGGGTTGACGTATCGACAGAGAAACATATGACGAAGTAATATTTTTCCGCGCCCCCTCGGGTGATGGCATTTTCCCGCCACTCGCTCACCATCTCTCCCCTTAACAGTTTTCCCATCGACAGATAGCAAAACCGAAAATTGTACTTTTGATGTTAAATATCGCGGAAACTATATTCGTTCCTAGGAATATCTACTCTAAATACATTTTTTGTACGGAATAACAGGATAAAGGATTTTTCATTTAACGATGTTTTTCTTGTCTTTTCACGTATTAACGGTAGCACATTGTTATTGAAAAATGTGTTATATCGAGGTAAAAAGTTGGCCCGTTTGGAAAAGAATATAGAGAAAGTACGAAATTGTAGTGGCATTTGATGATTAATCAATGTCTGATCCAAATGTATACTTCTGTCAATTGCATCAAGTCTTTTTAATAAATGCTGCTATTTAAAATATGCATAAGGCGCTAAATTTTAGAATTGAGAAAGAAACGGGATGTGAAATTTTTCAGAAGACACAGTCGCTAATGTTAATCGCAACATGTCGCTTATTAATAAATGAACACCCGCAATACAATATGATAACGTTGCTGCAATTTTCTGTCATGACTCGTGACCATAGACAGCTTCTTGCAAGGATAAATGATTCCGACGCGAGTACCTTCGTTAATCAATTCCCCTGTCCGCGATAATCTCGCGTAACGGTATTGATCTATATGGAATCTATGACAGGAAATCAAGGCTACGGATTGCGAAGAGCGCGTGGAGGAGGAGGAACTTGATGGACACGAGTTAATACCGTCCCCCGACAGTGGCAAGTCAACGGACAACGAAGCGGCTCTGTCGCCGATCAAGATTCGATCTGACGTTAACGGATTGGATCACGAAGATTGCGACGAATTGATCCACGTCGAGAACACCACGCAGGCGTGCATCATGCATACTCTCAGCATTGTAAGTCTTCAGTTCTCTTCTATTTTGCATCTGAAAAACAAGCATTAAGTACACGAATGATATATGTATAAATATGAAAAAATTATTGATAATGGCTGAAGCGATGAAAAAAATAGCTTTTGAATGTTCCATTGCCGAAAGAGTTTTATATAAATAAATAATATCTTATGCAAGCAAACATTTTAAAAGTATATTAATTGGAAAGAACATTTTCTAATTAATATGTTTTCGAAGTCGCATCGTACTGCCTTAGTATTATTTCTCTCTTTTCGGTTTTCTTTTTATTCTATTATAATATGAATAAAGGTAAGAAATCTGTGAAGTAAGGAATGGGAGATAAAAGATAGACGCGTACGATTCTCTGTCACGACGCACAGTCGGGAGCGACACGATGACAGAAATACCGACTTACACTACGTGTCGTAAGGACCGTAAAGAGCGTAAAGATCGTAAGAGAACCAGCATAGTGGCACTAATGACTGACGTCGCTCTCGCCACGCAGCAGTTAAAAGCAGTCATCCACGATAGAGAATCGTTCTTCTTGGGTGCATATTAACAGGAGCGTCATAAATCGACGTTGTCGGCGTCAACGACGACTACGACAATGCCAGCGACAGTGATGTCGGCGTCGCGGTATCTTTTTTTTTTTTTTTTTTCATGCGCGATAAATCGTACCGTTCTGATTGCCGCTAACGACCACGGATAAATTACAGTCGTCGAAATCTTGAATTTTTGCAATATGTAAACTCAATCACAGTTTTCAAAATCGATATTCTCTAGGCCATTATTGAAATTATTTTTGCATAATTCTGTTGTTACAGGACTCGTCCTTGGAGCTGAATTCTGACACGAACTCGAGGACAACTTCTGGAACGGTGATGGCCTTGACCAACGGTTCATTATCGGCGAAGGAATAAATGAGAGAAAAAGAGAAAAAAAAATATTAAAAGGAAAAATAAAAAGAGAATATTCATCGGAACGGTCTTCCCCGGCCAACCAACGAGACATATCGATCTCCTTTAAGGATAACGCACCCGTTTGTATATAGCTTAATTGCCTAACAAATTATATTCAGGATCGTTAGATCCCGTGGTCTATGCCGGCTGATCGGATATCGGTCATCTTCCCAAAAGAAGAAAAAAAAATATCAGTATCATTCTGGACTTTTTACGCACTTGCAATTTCACTTCAAACTTTAATTGAAAGCTAATCCAAATGGAAGCAAAATATTATAGGAAATCGGATTGAGTTTAATTATTTGCATTGAATATATTATTTTTTGGAAAAATATTAATTAAATTGCGAATTTCTCAATTTTTACGTGCATGTTCCACTCATTAAACTGTAGATTTTATTTATTAAAATTGCATGGAATTCTTTTTAAATACCAGAATATTTTTAGATCTGATATTTGAATTTCTTATATCATTCTGAATTTTGTGACTTATAAATTTTAAAATTTTTAGTTTTTTATATCATGAAAAACGTTTTATATTAAAAATTTAATATTTTTAATATTCACAGCTTCTATCTACATGAGAGCTTTAAAACATTATCATTCATCCTGAAGGCATTAAGTTATTAAAGTTTTAAATTTTCAGATTCATAAATATTGTATTATTGATTATCGTTTTGTTACTATTGAATAACGCTTCTAAATGTCTGAAATTTATCAACCACGAGATTTCAAATTCACATAACGCAATTGTAAATCACAGATAATTTTATATTTAGAAAATTGTATACACAATATAAGTTTATTATTATTCAACTATATAAAATCAAGTGCTTTTGTCATCTTGGTGGCAAAAATATTGAAGATAAGAATATTTGTGGACAACATATTAGCCAAAACGAATCATTAATGGATTTAATATCTCTAGAAATCCTAAAAATTATTTATTTATTAGTTATTTCCAGCGAGAATTAATTTTTTCAACAAATATTATAACATTATTAATATCGGATATAAATAATCCTTGAATATTGGCAAAGTTGTTTGTTAAGAAAATAAAGAAACGTCTTATACCTTCCTTTCCATAGCGATCGCACATGCGTGTAGATTAAAAATATAGATTGTCAAGATTTAATTATTTATGAAAGAACATATCTCCCGATAAACAATGTGATGTCGATGGCGAATTAATAACTGAATTATAATACGAATTTAAACTTCGATCATTATTAAAACGGCAGGTCCATTTCTCTGCTGTTACCTGCTCCGTTCCGATTTACTTTCATTTAGAGATTCTTAATCAATCATACTACACACGATTTAAATAATTGTTATCTATTTTAAGAAGGAAACGTAGCATAGAGAAAGCGAGAGAAGAGAGGAGGCTTTGTTGGCGGCTGTTATACAAATTCTATGTTATTACAATTCTATATTATATGTTTATTGACTTTACTTATAAATACATAAATCCGTATAAATCTATCTATATATACAATTCTATATATATACAAATAATTTATACAATTTAAATAATTATTTTAATGTAGCAGTTTAAGTAGCCATAAAATCACAAATTTATATAAATTTACCATTATATATTTAGAAGTCTATATATTTACTAATTTTTTGGCACTTTATTGTATGTAACTTTTCACTTTGAATTGTATTTAATATTTATGTAATTCTTGATTTATAAACGTGAGTATGAATCAAAAAACAGTTACATGTGCATACGAATGTGAAGTAAATTATCTCTTCTTTTCAGGAGAATGTAACATATTTCATTTTCAATCAATTTATTGTCTCTAATGTTTTACTGTTGTGACTTTCCACTGACAATTCCCGTAATTTATGCATATCAAAAATCCAATAATCTAGATATAGATGACCCTCGAATAACACAGTACTTGAATTGCACGAAGTCTGGAATAGCACGATAAAAAATTGTGACAATTTTATTTATTTTTCATAAGTTTTTTGTTTGTTTGTTAAATAATCCTTTGGAACTAAAATGCCCAATTTTATATGGCTCTGAAGTGTACGGTTTTCAATAGCATGGAATGTAATCTTCAAAATTGTATAAATCCTAAGTCTCTCGAATAAGAAACCGAAACCAATTAATCGTGTCGTTCAAGGGTTACTTGTCACAATATTATTTTTTGATACAGCCTGCACAATTCGTAAATGAAACGCAATCACGAGAAAATAAAGATATCGACAGCCGGAAAAAAAATCGGTCAAGCTTTTATCGAGGCCTGACGCGCTTCTCTTCCTGCGTTTTTTTCTCTGTAAAACAAGATATTTATTACACGACTAGATGGTAGCGACGAGAGTTATTTGTTTATAGCCCCATATATAAACAATGTTTTATGGATCATTAATGTCTAAATAAAATATATTACGTCTTTTAAGTCGTCTTTTCAATCTTGTCCTTCCTCCACTCCCTTTACATAATATTTACGTGATTTAACAAATTGACGTCTTACAAATTTTGACCGTGATAATCTTTATTTGGTACGTGAACGTTTATTTTTTAATTTAGTATTTACTAACGCGGTATTTCAATAATTAGATATTAATTAATAGAAACGTATGACGAGTAGAAATGTTTATTTAGCTTGTAATAAGTAATTAGCAAACAGTCTCTCATTAGAACTAGTTTTTAACGACATGCCAAAGGGCAAGGAATTTCGCGGTTCTTGGCACGTTCATCCCTTCAAGCGGCGCCTAATTACTACGAGGTACAACGTAGCATCGCCAGGCATTACGGCGCTTTCCGCGGTTATTCAACTGTACTAAGAGGCTCGTTACAAAGATTTTCACCGTCTTGCTGACCCCTTGACGTTACGTGTAAACAAGTTTGCTATTTCTTCAATTAATGATCGAACTCGAATTCTGCAAGTGTTAAAAATTTCTCCGACTTAACAGTTTCATCGATCAGCAACATTTTAGTTTTTTTTTTAATATATAATAAAAATAAGAAGATTATATTACGAAATAATCTATGGAAGATATTTGACGGGGTTCACGTCACTCCCGTATCTATTTTCCTCCTAGTGCGAAGCACTTTAATAAGCGCTTTTACGCCCGTCCGATATGGCGGAGTTTATCCTCGCGCGTACCTAAGCGATAATGGAGAATTCACAAAACATTCAACATATCCTCCTAGTAGATATCGGATGTCGCGTAGGTTGAATGTTACGTATTGCGAAATCGCGTAAACCATTAAACGGGAAAGACGTCGAGAGATGGAGAAGCGCTTATCACGCAAGAAACGCGGCCAAAAACCAACGGCCGACTTACTTTTGTCCATGTCTCTTTAGAAACATGATTCGTCCGTATTGCAACGTTTGTAACTTGTATCATTAAGACTGAGACTGCGTTATGGAAACAGGTAAGTTATTCCGCCCCCTTTTTGGAGAGCGCAGCGCTTATACTCGCGCTGGAAAACAGCACCAAGGAAAATTTCTATAATAAATGAAACTTTTGGAATTGCAATTTCGCAATTCTTGGAGTTTTGACTCGCGCTCGTCACCTCTCAGCTAATTATATTCTCCCGCTGTTCCTCTCACTTTAAAGAGTTTAGAATTTTCCACTCTCTCAGACAAAATTCTATTAGGAATTCTTGGAATCGCGGTGCTTGCAATTTTAATTAGCCTCGTCTTTTTTTTTTTGTTGATTTCGTCCCGCTGATACTTTGCCGACTTGTTCTTTATCGACTTCTCCTCTCTCCCTTATTCTCTGCTCCGCTCTCCGCTAGATGACAACACTTCGCGGAGAAATGTGTATAAAGGAACGCAAGAATGAGAATGCTGTAACTATAACGTACAATATAAAAAATCTTTATACAATTGTATTCGTAGTTTTATATGTCTGTATAAAAAAGAAATACTGTCTTACAGTCTTCTTAACTTATTCTTTATATCGATTCTTTTCTCTCCTTTCTCTGCTTCGCTAGATGACAGCACTTCGTAGAGAAACGGAATGAAGATAATAATAAAAAGACTTATAAAACACTATAAAGCGCAATAAACAGATTTTTATGTTTATATAGAGCTTTATTCACAGTTTTATACAATTTATCTGTATAAAGAATCTCAATAAAGAGATATTACCTTATAGCCGATCAAATTCAATAAAGGCTTAACTTTATTGCAACGGTTTCACAAAGTTTTGCAATGAGGTGATTTTTAACTAAGCTATAATTACATTATATTTAAAATTTTACTAGAATTAATAAAGAACAAATAAATTAAAAATAAGATTTTGTTACTACTATATTTGAATATTAATAATTTAGAAATTAATTTATACACAGGTACATGTTCATAGAAAAAACGCCGCCAAATTAACCAAAGTTACAATGCTTGCCAACTCAATTTAGCATCATCTACATGTATCTACATGCATATCTGCGTGTCTATAACATTCGGCGATAAATTCAGAATTCAGGTATTTTGGCAATAACGGTCCGCGTTCTATTTCATTTTCGGTTATTGCGCTGCTTCGTTGACCGGCGCGACTGTTTATCATTCGGTACAGGCCTTACGGTTAAAAACGACGACGAGCAATTGTGAACGGTAGTTGACTCCGTGGTAGAGGGGTGGGCATGTTTCACCTGCGACAAACTGAACGGTATGCAGATATGGGAGCCCGGGTAAACCGACCGCCTGTGGACTACTGTGCGGTAGTAATCACAGTCACTCCGAACAGTCAACGACATCCGCGAGACCCACAGGTGGATAACAGGTACATTATTTATCGAAATTTACACTAACATTTCCCTCTCGGCCTTTCGCGTACGTGCTTTTGAATTAATGTATTCTGCCCTTCGCGCTATCTAAATATCAATAAACACCGCGTTGATACTTTATCATCGTTCAATTTGTTGGCGTAAAATTTTTTTTCCTTTACTTAAATTAAAAAAAAACTGCACGGCGATCTCTGTGACTTAGCGATTCATTCCCGTCAAATTAAAAGATCTTATTATACGAAAAATTGCGAAAATTGCAACTTTACGATGCACAATGCGTCAATTACAGGGATTTATACATTTTTCAAATGCTATTATAGCATCGTGTTATTAACACAGTACGATACAACTTTAATGTAATAAATTTTTATGAACATAATGAATTCCAAATTATTGTCCAGTAGCATATTGAACAAAAGAGGGAGCTGCATAAGCCAATTAAAATGATATATACGAGAATTGAGTAAATTAAAATGCGACGAGATATTTAATCACGTTGCAATGTAGAGAAAATAATTATCGTGCATTTATATATTGGCAAAATAATTAAAGAATTAAATTTACACTTAATATGAAGGTTTTGAATTTTAGCACGAATCGGTAATTATATCTTGTTTATACTTTGTGTGTGTAACAGAGATATATAGTTATAATTTGGAGTAATTCATAATTACTACGTGTATCGTCTGTCCTACCAAAATCTACTTTTTACGCTAATGTTAATTGAATAATTGGGAATAAATTCGCAAAAAAATAGAAACATTATTATAAATTTAAATCCAACAATAACATATTTTTTTCTCAAATATTTTTGCAATTAAATAGTTAATAGTTGGGTATTTTTGCATTTTATATATAAAAAACCAATTATTTTATTTAATATTTAAAAACTAATGCAATATTCTTGTCATTATAATAAGCATTTTATTACAAAAAAATTTCTATAGTAAATTTAAATTTAAATTATTCAAAAATTGATTTTTATTTATACAATTTTTTAATCATATTAATATATTAATATCATATTTATATATAATTAAAATATTTTAAAATCATATCTTTTTTTATATTTGTATTGGACTTTACTCCGTTTTCCAAAATGGTATTGGATAAAAAGAGTATAATAAGATTAAAAATATTAAAAACTAAAATATATATGTACACGTATATACGTCAACATGTATTATTTAATGGAATGGAGCCACAAAGTTTCCAAATTTATTTCATAAGTATTTGAAATCTGTCTTCCTGTGTCTCCCTCTCTCTTTCTCTTTCTTTCTCCGTTTCTCCTTTCTTGAACATATCAGCCAAACCGTTAAAAAAGTGAGTTTCCCGCTATGCGCTTCGCGTTCTTCACGTTCCAATTTCCGCCGCGGTGGACATCAACGTCCAATTTCGTCGCGATTCGGTGTCCTGGCTCGTCGCGTGACCAATTAAAAGAAGATCCTTAATTGCGAGGCAGTCTCGTCTGTGTCTAACTGTAAACCGCGGGCATAACTGTGCGACGCCGCGCCGCGCGGCGGTAACGGCGCAAGATCCGTCATTCTGCGTTGGAGATTTGTTCCGCTATATCGCTGAAGATACCGACCTCCTGCTCGAGTCGACGACTCGCGATTGCCGGTCGTTTGTTACCAATGCTCGCAACGTTAAGCGTGCCTATAACAGTGACGGAATGACTCGACACGTAACCGGAAACTGTCAACGCCAATAAAATCCTGTTCCGTGAAACAGCACCGCGCGTTCTTCATTCGCGATCGCGAAGTCACGTTACTTCTTCTACAGGTCTGAGACCCCGTGCGTCGATATCTCCGAGATTATTCGCGCGAATCAAGCTCGAATTGTCTATCAGACATTACTTAAACACGAAGAACTTATTTAAAAAAAGGCAAAAAATGAGAAAAAATTACAAAATAAAATATAGTAAAGGTAAAACATTGAAAGGGGATAATTACATCTGGAACGCCACGCGTACAAATTCTTTTGTTGTCGTAATTTCGAACACGACAGCGTGAAGCATTGAACTTTCGTCGACGGAAATCTGACGCGATTTCGAGCCATGGTAAGCGTGCTCGGGCGAACAATCGTCCGGGCGGATCTATGCGAGTCGGCCGGAACTCGGTATAATGCCGCGGAAACGGCCTGGGAAATTATATTTGTCATGGAGAATCGGCCGTGTCTACATTGGAGGACGATTCGATGCGATCTTTGACCGTGCGACGACCGGACGGAACGGTCATTGAATGTGTACTGCCGGCCCTTTTTTTTTATTAGATCCAAAGCGTTGGATCGGTGGAAAGTTGCCGGTGACATTCACGGTTCGAAGTGGATGCTAACAATCAGACCGATACGCGCGAATGTCGGCTTCATTTTATAGAAAAGGAACGTATGAAAGTCCAATCTGATCTAAATCTGTATTAAATCGGTCGAACGTCCTACTAATTAGCACTCTATATTAACTTATTTTATTTTCAGTTTGTGCTGATTTAGTTTCGGCACTTTGTATTGCAAATAAATAAATCTACGCCATTTCGTGATACAGTATAAGAATAAAAAAAGTATCTATAATATTCGGGCCAAGAATGTGTATGAAAAAATTGAGGATTTTATAATACCTCGCGGTAAAAGATTCGTTATCTTGGAGTACCAATAACGAGTGAACGATATATTCTATTAAAAATTATAATAAAGTTTTTACTGTCCTGAAATACATTAATATTATAATGGAAATTACGATATATCGTTATTCGAAAACATTGTTCGTTTTGTATTTTATAAAATAATTATTATAATTAAGAATATTTTAACATGTAATTTAATACAATCAAAATTCAACAGAAGAGAAATCTTATATTTTTAAATACTTTGCTTTTATATAAATTGTACATTTTATATAACATAATTAATAAAAATATATATATAACTAATTGATTATTTATCAATTTTTATATCATAAATATTACTTTATCATATTATATCCTAATTTTATATAACAAAATGTTATAAAAAAAGGAATGCTTTTTTATTTTAATCTATACCGCAATATTTTCACGAATAAGATACACGTATTAATGATCTTTGATGTTTAGACTACAATGCCGTATCTGTCGGCGATGTTTCCATTGATCTTCCTGCTGGCCGAAATCAATGCAGCTGGCATCGGCGAAGCTTGGCAAGTTACGCCACATGTGAAATCAGTCTACACGGATCATCCGTTTCGATCACGATCGGACTCCTCGGCGTTCGAGGTTCGCACCGTAAGCGGAGTAGGTCGTCTGGCTTCGTTCGACGAAGCTCGAAATGTTCAGAAGCATCCGGAACTCACTACGCCGGGTTTCGTGGAGCCGAACATCCTTCCGGAAGCAGCCGAGGAAATTCTTCGCGAGAATAAGAACCTCGAGCAGTTCCGAAAACTTCTAGAGGACTCACCGTACGACAATGGCGAGGTTGAGGACGATGTCGTCAAAGGCGACGCCGTACCTATACAAAGAATTTTCCAGAAGACACTCATGATGAGAATTCTACACGCGGACAAGGGAGACGATGACAACAACGAGCAAGCCACGAGAGGGATCGTACAGCGTATTCGTAGGCAAGCGGAGAACGAGACGAGTATGGAGAAGATCTCGACGACGAAGAACGTGCGCGAGGCTCGTGTGAGCTCTCCCGAGACATGGTCGACCGCGGCGCAGCCGATCTCGGTGGAGTTCCGTCATCGTATCCCCTTAGATCAGGTGATCCAGCAGCAACAGGAGGAGGAGGAGGCCGCGGCTCTGTCCAGCATATACCGTAGGCATCAGGCACCCCGGGCGGACTTCGTGACGGGCCAGCATCATCGACGCTACCCGGACTATCGCGAGTCCAGGGACATGCCGATCACCAAGAACTACGACGACTACGATCAGATGTCCTGGTACAGGAACGCGATACGCGAGAGAGATTACGAGTATCCATCGTATCGCCGTGGATACAGCTACCAATATCCCGATCGCTACAGGACGGAGAGGGATTATTACACGCGGTCGCCGAGCGAACAGTACTACGATCGTTACGATCGTTACCGAGAGGATGATCTTGATTTCTACAGGAACCGACCCCCCGCGCCGAAACCCCGACGGATCATCTACTACGCTACCCTGCCGGAAATCGTGAGGAAACCGGTGGACCTGAGGAACTATCCGCGGTACGACGCGGGCGCGACCAGAGCACCGGTCACGCGGGACGGCGCCTACAAACGCGTGCCCGGCAACGTCGATCCCGGTAAGTATCGGTACAGACAATCGTATAGCGGTTACGATCCCTACATGAAGAGAGCGAGCTATTACGAACGTCCGTATGAATATCCCGAAGACGATTCACGACGCGTCAGAGTGTCAACCAAGGAGGACTTGAGGAACGACAGATTCGGAGGCGCGAATAACGAGCGGAAAGTAAGCAATCTCATAGCGATTAGGGACGAGTCGGGCAAGCTGCCCTGGCCGGTGCAAATCGGCACGGAGGTCAGCATCAAGGACGACGAGAGGATCCCCGGTCGTAAGATCTTCGGCGAGTCGAGCATCGGCTACGAGAGATTCCAAAGTGCCCAGCTGCAGAAAGCGCCGGACGCGACAGGATCCAGCGAGCTCCAAAGCGACAATTAACGCGTTGAAGATTACATCCATTTGCATTAAAAAAAAAATTAATTCTAGATTTACTTCTCGACAAACAACAATAGAAGCAATGTTATCGAAATCATAAGTTTGCAAATGCAATTTTGGGAATGTAATATTTAGATGACATTCAAACAATGAATACATGGAAATAAATACATGATTTGGATACTAAAATATGTAATTTAGAAATATATGATAATTCAAAAGAAAAAGAAATAATTATATTTAAAAAGTTTAAAAAGAGTCGATAAAATTTAATTTTACTACTGCGATAAGTTTATTAAATATTTTGAAATGGCTTTTTAAAGAAAAAGGATTATCTCTTAGTAATACTTGAAATGCTGCAGGGTTTATTTTTACAGATAGATATTTAATTTTAATAAGTGTTTGATATCGATTGTCAAGCGTTATCGTGAGATAACTGAGACGGATTGTGACTATAAATTGGTAAAATTTCAATATACGCAAATATAGCATTATTAAACATATAAAATAAGAAATCATTAAATCTTGATCGTTAATTGATTAAATTCTATCGTAGTTAGTTTCATTGTCAAAATAAAATGCAAAATCACGCAATTAATTAACAATGTCATATATACACAGATATCATTTATTTAAATTTTGATATTATATATTACATATCAATAGTTAAACTCCAATTATTAAATGTATTTTAATTTTTTATTTAAAAAATTACATAAAAACAGCACAATGCAAAGGGAAGTAATGGTTAACTAAATGCGTTGGGTATACAATTGATTTATTAGTTGAGCATTTCTTTCTTATATATTTAGATATTTTGATTCATGTAAGTTAATATACATACTATTTGTATTTGTACTTATTAAAAATCTACGATTGAATATCTTCAAGTAAAATTTTTGAAGTACGAATCTCGGGAAAGCAAATAGTCAATATGAAGTAAAAGTTTTTGATGTTAATGTCCTTTACAATGTCTCCTTTATATGTCTATACAACCTGATTTATAATATAAAGATAAGTTTAGTAATATCTGCGATAAATAAATTGAAGAATTACTTAATACATGTATAAAACTAAAATACATTTATTTTATATTTTTAAGAATAAAGTTCCAGGATATTCAGTTTCTACTGAATCAACTAATTTATTTTATTTTAAATTTGTGTGTTACCAGATTTCTCTTTTAGAACTATTCCATTCAGTTCCTTAAATTGAAAACCAATTTGTAAAGAAAAGGAGAAGTAATATATGATTACTATTATACATATATATATATTTGTTTGATTTATCAAATAAGTTTAATGTATTATAAATATATACATATATAAAACAAAATTTATCATAACATCTCAATTTTCATTATTATTCGTTTAGGCAAGAATACCGTCTTCTGTATTTTTAAAACATAATTTTCATTAAATAGTGCAATAACAATAAGATACTGATAAAGTTTATTAAAATGTATTATTCTTTAATCAATAATTCTCAACATTCGAAATTCGAAGAGTAGCTTTATTTACTAAATTTCAAAACAAATACATGTAAAAAATCGTTAAATTTTTGTATTTACTTATTAAAAATATTTGTTTTTTTAAATTTATATATTATTTAATAACATTTTAAAAAGGATCAAATCGGTTTCGGGCATTAGCCACCTACGATCGATCATGTCTCTTCCGTTATTCTCGTTTACCGGAACTTATCTGCTGAACATGGAGACTTACCCACAGCAGCGTGTCTTTAACAGCACATCGTAAATGGGTCGAGTTGATATCACTTGTGCGTTACCATAAGAGTTAAGTGCTTCGAACACGGTCTGTACGCTATTGCCCTCTGATGCAAGGCGTTGATGAACAATACGCATGTCATATTTCACGTTGATAAAGATGAGAGATTGCATTTAAATATCTGACAGGCCTTTTTCACTGAATAAATTTATAAAACACCTGCACCAAACGTAAAATTAAATTGCACTTTAGACTAAATTTTTTATTATAAAACAGTCATAAAGAATTTCCTGGCAATTCATTTATTTTGAAAATAATTAAATATTTATATTTATATCGCATACAAATACCTCAATATTTAAATACAATATCAAAATTGAATTAAATTTTTCAGAAGAAAACTTTTCCTCTTAGCGTTATTAGCTTTTGCGATATTAACGAGAGAGAAGAAATTAGGTAGAACTTAATAGTTCGCTGTAAACCCGACATTATTTTCGAGGTTTCTTCGTCGTCACATTATATTGAAGAAAGTCAGAAATCGCGTCGGCCTCCTGATCGGCGGTATTATCGGGCATTATCGGGCCATATGGAATTTAGGCTTGGAAACAGTCCCGTGCAGGAAATTGCTAACGACCTAAACGTTTGGGGCGGCGCACTGGGACTGTAAGTCCCATGGCCCCAGTTGTGATGGATGGACCTTGGCCTACTCTATAATTTGAAGGCGTTTTATGTGTGGCCCTAACACGTACTCCCTCAATGACCCTCCATATGTCCCAATTGTCGTCCGGCGTATAACCACGGGCCTCTGTAAATGGACGGTGACGGCCTTTTATCGCGGTTTCGAGACTCGCGAAAAATAAGCTTTAATAATATTAAATTATATTATGCCCAACGATTTTGTGATTCGCGATAACTCATTCATTATTATTTGCAGCGATATGAATTGCGTTTCGAAGAGTGAAACGAGCGTTGCGGTTGGCTCTTTTCAAAACCGATATAGCGTCATATCTTTAATTCTATTATTAACGAACTATCTTGTTTCGGAATTTTAGGAAATCTAAAAAAGCGCCCGTTCTGTTTATCTCTCTCGTTATACAATCTCGCTAATCTCAAATTCACTGGCGAAAATTCAGTATAATTGTTAAATGTTCGTACTTGCGTGAATAAATTATATACGCGATGCAAAATCACGGGGGAGGGACTAGGTGGGTGGGGGAGAAAACAAAAACTTATAATTCCGCAATTCGTGCCGCGAATTACATAGTTATTTAATAAATTGCTTTACATCTGCTCGCCAGCGTGCTAATTAGTGCCGGCCGCTATATTATGCAAATCTTATACGTGGCGTAGGCATGGTTAAATGAATACCCAATTAAATTGCAAAGTGAGTGTTCCCAATTTTCCCTATATTTTGCCCTTTGGTACACTAATTAATTTCCACGGTCGAGCTCACTTTATTTACGCGCGACAAACCTCAAAATTGTGGCCGACCGTCCGGTATATTTACGCGAGCGGCCGCTCGCGCGCGCACCGCGAGCGCAAAAATACTCGCCGCGTTACATGGACAACTAGCGCGCATTCCTCGAGCTGATTTTCAAGCAACGAGCAACAAAATCAATTACGAACAAAACAAAACGCAAAAGTTGAACTCTTAACAGAATAAAAATTGGTAGCTAAAATCGATAAAAAGTATAATGTAAGTGTGTCAATCGGTAGTTGTAACTACTTTCGTTTCTTTTTTATTTGTCTAAAAATATAATTTACATATCTATGCGATGTAAGTACGCGCACTTTCCAAGAAATTTATCTTTTTGCGCGAGTTTATTTATTTATTTATGTCCGCGAGTTTCAGATTTAAATGATATGATCATTAAAGATATCGTATAGGAATAATTACGCACTCGTGCTGGTTATCTGATAGTGAGCAGTCTCTTCCATTTTGCCATTTTATTACTATCCTTCACACGGTAAGGTCAGAACATGTCTCCGGGCGTGACAAAAATTGCTCGAGTCAAGAAGCGAAACGTGACGAAGCGTTCCATCGTCGGTCAGTCTCGATACGCAAGAACGATCGGGGGTTGTTGGGCCACCCTTCCCCCTGGTAACGTGGAATTATTGTGGATAATATGTGGATAGTTAGTCCGCGATTAGTCTGTCCGGCGGATTGTATCCCTTTCCCCTTTCCATTCCCGCGGGCGGCCTGCCGTGATAAATGACCGAATCCTTTGGAGTTTTTAACCGCGAGCCGTTCTCGTTCAAAGGTTCTACGCTCCATCTCTCTCTCTCTCTCTCTCTCTCTCCCACTTACTTCGCAAACTCTCCCGTCCACCTCTGCACCTAAGGTCGTCGCTACAATTTTGCTGTAAATCACGTAAATGTTGACGTAAACGCCATGAGTAATTAGATATACTTGCCCGCGATAACCTGCGCTTCTTGCGTCATCATCTCTGATCTTCACCGACCTAAGAGCTGAGCTCTCCTTTCATGACAAAAGCAGAAATAGTATATTTCTAATTTTCTGTATCTCAGCGTTTTTCTTGCTGGCGAAAAGATGAAATCTTTCATAAATTATTTTATATATAGACTTATATTACTGATTAAAAAAATTAATCTATAAATAAATATAAATATATGTATATACCAATATATATATAAATTTTAAATTTTTTGCAGTGAATTTTTCATTAAATTCATTAAATCCCTTTTTCTTCGTTATTAAAGAATATACTTAGTACTTTATTTCTTCGGGAGAACGCACCAGTAAACGTCACAGTGATGATATTTACGATCACCAGTTATCAAAATTAAAAGGACATTCCGCGATAGCTGCAAGAAAGCAGAAAGAAACGACTTTTGCCGTCGTACTCGCTTTCCCTCCCGCCTTATAACATCGCTAATCCATTGGCTACTTACTCCGTAGTGACTTTCGGCGAGGGTGAGACCGATGAGTTTACCCACCGCGGGGGTTTCGATGTAGATTGCGACCCACGCCTAATTTTGAGACTCACCGTTGTTTATTGCCGAATCCTTTTAGCCTCGAATGGGGTGCCGGATAGTTCCATGTCTCCTTTCTTATACTGCGAAAAGAAGGCGCGCCGAAGATGCCGATCGTTCGACATTAAAGAGGAAGCCGGGGAAGAAAAATCCGTCGTTAATGCGAACGATGCAAACCGCAGTTCAATCCCGACCGTATTCAAAAACCGTTGGCATAATCCTTTTAAGAGATTAAATGGAACGTGACGTCTTTCTATCACAGTGGAACTTATAATATGAGCGCTTCTCAGTATTTCTATTGCAATTATTTTACGTTTTAAAAATAAATTATATGTATTTAAAAATTGCAT